ATCACAATTCATTAGTTGTTCACCGTTGTAAATTATTTTAATGGTAAAGTAAAGATTCTCCAGTAAAGTGCAGATGTAATGTGTTGTGTAAGCAACATTATATCAAGAATAGCAATGTACAGTGAGACATTACTTTTACAAATAATTGGAATGAAATTTCAAAAAATATATTGACAGGAATATTTAATAATTAATCTATCAGCCTGCCTTTCTATTTTGACATGCCATTTTTTGTCCCGTGCAAGTTATCACTGTCACTGTAATTTTGAGCGTGTAATAATTCTTCATCTGTCCTCTTAGCAGCATGAAAAACCAAAATTTTATTCAATTGATTATATAGGCTATAGCCTCGAAAACAGGCAAAAAAAAAACGTTCCCTTTACAGTCACTAAAAAGCTGTTACTCATCTCAGTTCGCGATCTCACAGTTCCATTAAAATCTGTCAATAATAATCAAAGTTCTCAGACAGTCTCCTTGCTATTTTTTCCCCAACACATTCAAAATCATTACTTCTGTCGGTGAGCAGTGGCAAGCTTTATGCGTGCGCTTGAGAGCTGATTAAGCTATATGTAGGCAATTAAAGGCTCATTATTATGACTTACTATATGGTTTATTAATAAACGTGTGATTAGTCGACTAAACACCTAAAATGAATGACTACTAGTCAACCAGAAAAATCTTTAGTCGAGGGCAGCCCTACTTACATTGTGTCTTTGTTTGTTATTGAGAGGATTCGCGAGCGTGCAGATCTCAACATCGAACAAAAACTCGGGTGTTTTGAGCGGTGAGTGGACTAAATTAAACACCTCTGATTGGCCATTGCATTCATGACTGTGATTGGCTACATTTCTCACCGCTGCAAAAACACGTTGTAAATAGAAACATTTGAAGTTTTCCAGAGCGCATAAAAAAAACGCACTAGAGCGTTTGCCAAATCTGTTTAGCCAGTATGCTATTATTACAGTAATGACTGAGGAAGGTCTTGTCTTGACTTTGTGATGTTTTTTACCAATGTTCTAATATTTTAACAATTATAAAAAATATTAATTATTTTTATTGTTGGCATTTTATTCAGTTTTAATATCCGAATGTTAGTGAGAAGAAGAAAAAACGTTTAGATATCAATCTGCATTTGCGATGGACACCGGTTATGCTCATCTTTGGTAGCTCTTTTGAAGGTATCTTGAGTAAAACCGCTCTATATTTAACAAAGTATCATAGAGTCTTGGGGCTTTTGACCTGGCACAGCGCCCTAGTAACAATTCAACAGGGGGGCAGTCGTGGCCTAATGGTTAGAGTCCAACTGATAACCTGAAGGCTGCGGGTTCGATTCTCAATACTGGCAGGAAATGACTGAGGTGCCCTTGAGCAAGACACCGCAGTAAAAACGTCTGTCCACTGTTCAGAGTGTGTATCTGAGTGTGTCACTACTCCTAATGTCTAAGCACTAACTTGAAAGGGTTAAGTGCAGAGGACAAATTCCAAGTACAGGTTTGGGTTACTTGGCCTTCACATGTCACTTTCACTTTCACCCCTAGCATTATGGCAGCAACTTTTCACATGCAATCAGCATCCACCTAGATCACACTAGAAATTGCCTAACAACACCCTAGTAACCGTGCACAACACCCTATCATCATGGTTGCAAGTTTTGCACATGCAAGTACCACCCAGCAATAGGGTTGGGTACCGAAACTCGGTGCCAATAGGGAACCGGTTCCGACGTAAACGGTAGTAACCAGACCGAAAAGAACGAAAATTTCGGTGCCTGATTTCGGTGCCTAACTTCATTAGGCACACACGCACACACAAGGTCTCTCGCTCTCTCCCTCTCCGCCGTGCGTGTGCTACACAGTTTGGAGCACAGTTTCTTCTGTCTCGCATGCGCGCTTTCTCGCAAGGTTTGGCTGCATTTCACGTGTAAAATTACGTGTCAGAACGCCCTCTTGGTGTGCCGATAGTCTGAATCCCATATAGAATCAAGCCAATTCATTGGCTGATGGCGCGGGCGCCGCATCGACGCACTTACGTCGTCATATTATGTTGGCGCGCGCGCGCCATCTGCTCCTCTGATTTCTCTGCCGAAAAAGGAAGCTGGTCGGCAGCGCGAGGAGCTTGGCAGCGTCCCGTTCCCTATTGAGAGATATGTTACACCAGTAACCAGAGATGTTCTCTTTCATAGGTTCACTCAACGCTGCGTAGCTAAGAAGCAGTGGATTTGTAGGCTGCTGTATCACGTGCCGTTTGAACTGACGTGCTACAGCGATCTGTCACATTTCAATGAGCCAAAACGTTATTTATTGTGTGAATCTCGTAAAAATATTGACAGAATCTGACAGCTGTGGATTTGTTCCATATCAAAAGTAACCTTCTCTGTCTTGTCTGTCCGTGTCCTCTTTGTCCGCGATTTTTCTGTGTGAAAAGGGTCATTTGCGTGAGTCTCACGGTCAATGCGTGAGAGTTGGCAGCTCTGCCTGCTAGTAATCTCTATTAATTCTCCAGTATTATTACATTGTTTGATACAATATTGTTTCATTTGATATTATGTAAATATGAATTTTTATTTTATATTGGTTTTATTATTACCATATGTTACTTGTATTTATATTGTTTAAAGATTTAAGTTAATATTGTGTCCAGTTTGGCCCTGTAAATTAAAGGGTATTATTTTTTTATAACGTGTGTGCGGTTTCATTTTCTTAAGTACCGATTTAAGAACCGTTTAAGCACCGGAACCGTTTAAAAAATACCGAGTAGGTACTGGAATCGGATAAAACCCAAACGATACCCAACCCTACCCAGCAACCACCTAGATCACACTAGAAATTGCCTAACAACACCCTAGTAAACGGGCACAACACCCTATCATCAAGGTTGCAAGTTTTGCACATGCAACCACCTAATCACCTTAGAAACCACCTTGCAACTCCCCAGTAACAAATGTACAATACCCTAACATAATGGCGGCAAGTTTTGCACATGCAAGTACCATCCAGCAACCACCTAGATCACACTAGAAACGCCTAGCAACGCCCTAGTAACTATGAACAACACCGTTGCATCATGACTGCAAGTTTGCACATAAAAATGCCATCCAGCAACCACCAAGATCACCTTATGAACCATCTAGCAACACCCTGCACAACACCTTAGCATCATGGCAAAATGTTTTGCACAACCACAACCATTGAGTAACCACCAAGATCACCCTAGAAATGACCAAGCGCCTGCCCACAAAAGGCAAAAACAACTTCTTTGTACAGAAAATGTAAAAAAAAAAAAAAAGTTTGAACAATAAAGAAAAGAAAAAAAGACCTTTTTAATTCCAAAAAGCCCAGGGCTCAAACTAACACAGTTCAGCTGAATAAAGAAAAAACAACTAAACTCTGTGATTCTCAGCAAGGAAATACAATTTTGGATTTAAATAAAATTAGACAAGCACATTAAAAAAAAAAGCATTAAAATGATATCTCAAGTCGGGTGCAGAGCCTGGATATTGTCATCACAGCAGATGAAAAACACCCCAATCCAAGATTTTAAATTTAATTTAAATTCAATATTAAGTCACCATAATAACAAACAAAGAACATGTGCACAGAGTCTCTCAAAACTCAAATATTTTGACCATGGCAAACAAGGAAAAAACATTCATTCTTTATGGACACCCTGCAACCAAAGTCACAGAAGTGTTCTTATTGTCGTGGCAGGAGTGAAGGGGTTAATTGAGCGGCACAAAGGGGTAGCGGCAGCCCACTACACTGCCATCGCTGGATTAGCCATTCCCAGCCAGAACACTTTCTCACACACATACACACACAACAAACACATCAGTTTCTCTGTTGCTACAGCAACAGCTTACTTTCCATGTCAACTGCAAAGCTGTTTCTATGGAGACACATATACAGAAAAAATTATTTGCTCGACAGCCAGGGACCAGATGGCAGTGAACTGTAAGAGTCACATGGAATGGCTTTACTGTTCTGACTAACTTGTAGACACATGCACACCATAAACACACACACACACACACACACACAGCATGCTCTCAATATGATACACACGCACAGGAATGCATTTATCAGCTTTTGACAAGAATCAATCAATACTCAATAAGCATCTAATGAGTCCCAATTCATAAGCTTCATCCTTTTATCAAACAATTATAAAATGTTTTCATACAGGAATCAATTCAATCAACATTTACCCATATTAAAACCGAGATAACAAGCCTCACCCCTAAATATTGACATGTTCATCACACTCCTGCAGCGTAGATTTCCAAAGCCACTCATTTAAAAACAAAGTACAGCCTTTTGACAAAGTAGTTAGCTAGAATACAAGTTAAAAGCTTTTTAAGCAGGCAAAATCTTTCTAATTATATAATTATCAAATATATGGTAAAAAAAATTATAATTAACAATAAGGTCCAGTTCATTAACATTAGCTAAAGCATAAGATATTATGAACACTAAAAAGTTAACGTATAACTTTACACTAAATAGGAGTAATAAAACTAAGAAACAAATAAAACCCTATTTACATATACATATATATTACAAATATATTATATATGTTAAAGTTTTTTTAAATCTAATTGATTGGACAATCATCTTATGGTTAATTGACGAACCGCTCAAACGAATTCACTGCAAATGAACTGTAATTCCCAGCGGCACTTGACAAAAAAACTGTAGGTAGAGCATTTACTAATGCCACATCTTTACTTCTAAAGTTATACGCAATACAATTTGACTACAAACAGCAGTGTAACATTTTGTATTAACCTGTTTCTAACAGCAATCATTTTCGAAAACAGTGGAGCTGCCTTTAGGCTACTGAAAATTTTTAAGCAAATGTTTGTAGAGTCTCGACTACTACCAAAAAAAGGAGTAAAAGACAAATAAAAAGAGCAAAAATTAAATCAAATCTAGAGTACAATAAGGTGAGCATTTCCCACAGTGCAATTAAAGATTGATGCAGAATGATTTTGGCATCCTTACCTGACTCCTGTCCTTGTCCACCTTCTTAAAGCACTTATTGAGGGAAAGATTGTGCCTGACTGAGTTCTTCCACCCCGTGGGGGCGTTGGCAAAGTAAGGGAAGTGTTCCAGGATCCAGTTGTATATGTCTTTAACTGGCAGTCTCTTAGAAGGGGCATCTTCTATTGCCATGAAGATGAGGCAGCTGAACGAATAAGGAGGTTTGCAGTTGGGGTTCTGCTTGGCGTCGTAAGGGAGATCCGAGTGGGCCGGGGAGGGTGGGGTGTCATCGTCCAGGTCCTGGACAGGGCTGACGCTTCTCAACACGGGGTCACCGAAGCTGTTGAGCAGGTTCTTGCTCTCGTGGAGCCAGTTGAGGTTGGTGAGTTCCTCGTCCTCCACGCTGCCCTTCTCCAGTTTGATGATGGGAAGAGCCAGGTCCATTTCCTCGGCCTCCTGTAGGGCGCGCGTTATGGAGCTCGCCTGATAGAACTGGCTCAGGCCGCTCGCGACGCTGACCCCGGAACTTTCCAGCTTCTTACTGGGAGGCATAACCGGACCCATTTAGACCAAGGCTCCTACGAAATACACCAAGGAGAACAAGATCACAATCAAAGAACGTCAAAGGTGAAAATAAAACACATTAAGAGCATCATTTGGTCAAGACATTCTTCCCAAATGCGCAATCCAAATCCACTACAAAGCTATTGTAGAAGTTTACAGACTGATTGTCTTGCAGGTTGATTTATTTCACTTGATGTTCAGATCACAGCCTTTACTTCCATCCAAGGGACAAAACATTCTCAGAGAGCACAAAAAGAGCATGGCAGTGAGAATTATCCTACTCTGTCAACAGCAAGAATGCTCTCAGAGAAGACGGAACAGCTACAGAGCAACTGAAGAAGCCTTGCTACAGTGTGAAATATTTCAAGTAAATGGAATATAATACTCAAGGTCATCTACAACTGATCTGCTCTGTCTGTCTGTTTTATGTTCTCTCAGTTGCTCTTTTTATAGTTGTCGTACACAGATAAAAATAAAGATATCAATACATATATAATGTGACAAATGTCATACAATGATTAAATGTGACAGTAAAGGCATGTAGCTATAATGTTACAAAAGTTTTTGATCTCAAATTAATGTCTGTCTTTTGAACTTGCTATTTATCAAAGAATGAATAATGGTTTCCGCATCAATAATGAGCAGCACAACCATTTTCAACATTGAAGATAATAAGGAACGTTTCTTGAGCATCAAATCAGCATTGTGTGACACTGAAGACTAGAGTAATGATGCTGAAAATTCAGCTTTACCATCACAGGAATAAATTACATTTGAAAATATATTACAATAGAAAAGGTTATTTTAAATTGTAATAATATAAAGGGTTACATTAGTGTGGATTAGAACTGGACCATACTTTAAATCATACTTTATATTAAATTGCTGATCCATGCCTTTATCCACTGACCTACAAAATCCCAGGATTGACAGAGGCAATTAGGAATAAAGGAAACTGTTCATTTGTGTTAAGGGAACTCACTGAAAATGAATAATAATGATTTCAGTTTTTAATGAGCTAATACAGATCAACATATGCTGGCCAAAACATTTAACTTAATATCTGAGCTAATGCTGCCTTCATGTGCTATAGGAACATTTTTATTTGAGAGGGTGTTCATGTCCAATTTTTTAACAAGGAAACTGGTATTTGAGATTATTCAGTAAGTCTTGCCATTTTAGATGTCACCATAACAAGCTCGTTTGTGATTTTTCCTCATTTTAAAACAAAATGACAGCTATAGTACTACTAACCTAAAAATATCTCTATCTATGTCAGGGGTGTTCAATCAATCCTGTTTCTGGATATCCACCTATCAGCAGAGTTCAGATCCAACCCTGATTAAACACACCTGTCTGTAATTATCGAGTACTCCTGAAGATCTTAATTAGCTGGTTCAGTTGTGTTTGATCAAGGTTGAAGCTGAACTTTGCAGGGAGGTAGATCTCTGGGAACGGGATTGGGCACCCCTGATCTATTTCAATACACTATTCTATAAAGAACTGTGTGCGACAGAGGGGAAAGATGTCAATCACTGAATCAAATACTCAGAACATGACACCAGAAAAACAGACTGCGACCTTCCCCATGATCACTAAGATCAATTTATGTGGCGCTGTCTTTCCTGTCTCACTCTCTCACCCTCTCGTTCGCTCAACACAGCCGGTCCATCAGCAAAAGCAATTACTAGAAAGTCACGTCAAACATTTAAATACTGCCAAAAATAATTCCATGAAAATATATTAAAAAATATAAATCCATTGCTTTTCCTCTTCAAAGAGCAGATTAAGTTTTTCTAAAACAATTTGACCTCAGCTTCAAACTGCTTGTCTTTTAGAATAGAGAAATACTTAAATATTATACTTCAGCGCTGTGGGAAAGGCAGCATTTTGAAGGGGAACGAAATCGCCTCGTTCAAACTAGCCATCCGCACATTGAAATGCAACACGGACACTAAAATCATTCATGAAAAATCAATGTACTGCATCTTTCCAATGAGGAGCGCTCATTTCACTCACCCTCCGATGGGGCGCTCCAGTCCCGTGAGCCGTTGCACAGGAAAATTATATTACAGCTGACAGTAAAGTAATTTAATTGTACTGTTGCCATGACAACGCAGGGCTCTGTTTAGGCCTAATTTGCTGGCAACTGCCAATAGTGTCCCGAGAGACCAGAAACATCATTCTTGACCATTATTTCCAACATCAAAGAAAGTTTTTGCAAAATACTTTCGAGTATCAAACGACAACGAAGTGTAATCCATCCTGATTTATTTTAGAACAAATTTTCATCACATTTGCTGTCTTTTAAACATTTTCAAAGTCTTTAATTTAGCTCAAAAAGAAACAAGCAATTTTTTTAGGGTGATTTTGAAGCTCTTGCACTAGCCACGTGACATTTGAACACGCATTGAAACATTTATAACACTTTTCTCTCAAACTCTAGAATCTAGAACAATGATTTTGACATTAGCCTCAAAATGCTAACTTTAACACTGTGTTCACATTTGTAGTTCAGTTATCTTGGTTCTTTTGGTCCAGGCCAAAAAAGAAAATTATACATTTAGTCCTGGTCCACTTAGTGTTCACACTGTCATTTTTAACACAGAAACTAAAGATACAAAAAAAAAAAAAGGCTTCTATGGCATATATTTTGTGAAGGAACTTGTCGAACATCCAAAAATGTGCTGTGTTCTGGGCTAAATGCACTCAGTGTATGTGCGTAAATATGATGGTATATGATGGAGCTGAGAACTTGTGAAGAGCTTATAAAATGTGTAAAGGAGTCAAAACAGCGGCAGGAATCCCTCCGTCACACACACAAACGAAGATCTGCTGCAAGGAGACGCGGTTCTGATACCTGTACTGAACTGTGATGGGCAACTTCGCGACTATGACGAGAAAAAACAGGTATGCTTAAGCGTTCTTTCCCTTTTAGGGTTGCCTATTGTGACATGTTCTGTTTTTGGTTTGTTTACATGTCTTTGGTTCATGTTGTGTTCATATTTCAGTCAAACCGCACCAGAGTTCTTTGGAAGTAGGCCGAGACCCACCTTTTCAGGGATCTCGGTCAGCTTGTTTGGTGCGCAGCTGCGCACCAGGGTTCGGATGGCAGCGTTCACACTTATTCAAATGAACCGCACTAACAGAGCAATCGCACCAGAGTTCGTTTTAATCCAACCAAACCTGCCAAGTGTGAACACACTCTAATGCCGAGTTCAGACTGCACGATTTTAGCGCCGATTTTGGCTCGCCGACAGGTTTTGAGAAATCGCCGACAAATGCCTGAAATCACAGGCAAATCGGTGCTCGTTCACGCGAGTGACAATCACGCAGTGAGAATGAGCAAAGACGCGATCTGAGAGAATCGCCGACGCCCGTGAGATATTTGGCATGCTAAATATCTGGACGTGTCGGCGATTCACAATCATGCTGTGTGAATGTGTTCTGACTGAAAACTACATCGGCGATGACCGACAGCCAATGAGAGAGCAAGATACAGGGAGGAGGAGGAGGAGTTATAGACCAGAATATCAGTATTTTAATAGATAGGCCTATATTTACAATTATATCAAACAGAAACAAAGCACAAACATTTGCATGACCAGCAGCAACAGCAGGACATTTGCAAAATTATTTATTTACCCCCAACTCTCTTTGCAAAACACTGTCCTTGCTCCCCTCGTCTTCCCAACCATTTCCTGCATAAACTGTTTTTTTTTTTTTTTCATATTCGCTACAAATCAGTGCACAGACAATTTGTAGGCTATCATTTTTAATAACAAATTCAGTGTCGCGCGAGAACTCCGGTCTCACGCACGCGTGATCTTCCGTTATTTCCTATCACTTCTCGCGTTTGTTTGGTTGTGAAACGTAGTTTCCGGACCAGGCAGAAGTTGTTGGCGATTCTTTCTTTTGTAAAGTCATGCAGTGTGAAACCTCCTGTCGCCGATCCATCGTGCAGTGTGAACACAGCAGCAACTGCAGATAGTCATGCAGTGTGAAAACAACAGTGACCCGATTATTTTGAAAATCGTGCAGTCTGAACTCGGCATTAGGCCATATGAACCAAAATAGAACAATGATTGGGCCAAAAATAAAGGAAAAGCATGTACGTATACCGTTTCCCACATAGTTGTGAATGACACATTGTATCTGATGTCCAGGCTCAGGTTTGTTTCTTTGAGATTGTGTTTCTCTGGCAAATAGCTATAAATGTGCTCCAGTCATGCGTCCAGATGACAGAAAACCAGATCACAGAGGGTGGGTTAAAGCTACAGATAATTAGGCATGATGCTCTGATCAGAGCCCAAATACCATCTGCCTGTCTGAATCAACATTTGTTTGGCAGCCTCATTATATCAGTGATTAAATGCATGCATACATGCAGTTAGTGTTTAATATAGTCATATACTGTACATCTGCATATGCAAGCAACTGGCCGTTGGAGCTTGAATAAATTAATGTCCGCTCGTGTCTGCCATGTGTTAAAATGCATAACGATATTCTATGAACAGCTATGTTCATTTGCATGCCAGTATGACTGACATAACAAAGACAACACAATGACAAAGAACAGGACTTTGTTCCCTCATCACCCATCTTAACATCTGACTATTAACCGCATACACGAGTGCCGAGAGAGATCCTCTATTCAACATGCAGACACGGACCGTCCTGATGTTACAAGCCAAGCGACTGCCAAACTGTCATTGTTTTGCTCGCTTGATTGGGAGAGCTGCGTTAAAACAAGCACAAAACTCATTTAAAGTGGGTGAAGAACAAGTAATGAGTCTATTCATGCTGGTAATAAATCGCTCACTGAGTCACTCAGCCACAAAAACAAGAAAAAGTTAACTTTATGTACAACTTGACTTCTAACACGACACATTCTCAACAAATGATTAAAATGAGACTAAACTAGATTTTTACAACATCAGAAGAAAATGTAAATGTGCAAAACGTTCATTATCCTTGGGTTGTAGCCAGGATGTTACTATGCATTTACTAAGGT